ACAAACACATACACACACAAACACACACACACACACACACACAAACACATACACACACAAACACACACACACACACACGAGCATGCAAGCACATGTGCATGCACGCACACACACACCACAATTACACACACGCGCACACAAACACATGTGCACGCAAGCACACATGCACGCACACACACACACACATGAGCGCACAAACACATGCGCACACACAAACACGTTTCTGTCACCTCACTCCCCGATCTCACCCTCTCACACACACACACACAAGCACACACACACACACACACACACACACACACACACACACACACACACACACACACACACACACACACACACACACACACACACACTCACACTCAAGCGCACAAACACTTGCGCACACACACACACACACACACATGAGCGCACAGACACTTGCGCGCGCACACACACACACACACACACACACACACACGAGCGCACAAACACTTGCGCACGCGCGCGCACACACACACACTCAAGCGCACAAACACTTGCGCACACACACACACACACACGAGCGCACAAACACTTGCGCACACACGCGCGCGCACACACACACACACACACACACACACACACGAGCGCACAAACACTTGCGCACGCGCGCGCGCGCACACACACACACACACACACGCAAACACACACACACACAAACACATACATACACACACGAGCGCACAAACACTTGCGCACACGCACACACACACACACACACGAGCATGCAAGCACACATGCACGCACACAAACACATGCGCACAAACAAACACGTTTCTGTCACCTCACTCCCCGATCTCACCTTCTCACACACACTCACACATGAGTGCACAAACACATGCACACGCACACATGCACACACACACGAGCGCACAAACACATGCGTATGCACGCACAAACACACACACACCCCTGAATTCAATATTTGTTGTTGTCATCACAATGTCAGGAAAACACACACACACACACACACACACACACACACACACACACACACACACACACACACACACAGGATGTTTAAACCAGCGATGAGGTAACACAAACACTGCAGAATAAAGGGAGGGGGTGGTGACAACATGGGGTCAGAGGTCAATTCCCCTGACCTTACAGCTGCTCTATACTCGCTCTTTTATGATTAAAATCTCAGAGCCAAAAAGGGCTTGAGTCTTCATAGAAACGTGCTTTTCCAGCAGGCTGATGGAGGTGGATGTTTCCCTCTGCAGAACAAGCCAGGTGGAATTTCATTCTCCCAGAAGCTGAACCAATCCAGTAGCTGAGGTGTTTGTAAAGCCAGGAAGTGAGCTCTTAACTCATACAGATGTTTGAAAGGCAGCTCATAAGCAACAGCTCCATAGATGAATTTGTACCTTTTAACCTTTTAGTTTATTTTTAGAGTCGAAGGAATCGTGGGAGAACACTCCGTTTGTTAGGTCCACCCTGCCAATCACATGGCAGCATCCAGACGAGGTGAAGTCAACCTGCTGGAGTTCAAACTGACTGGCCTGAGCTACTGGGACTGGGAGACTCACCATCAGGGACTGGTCAGACTGGTTCTATAGGACACAAGGACGACAGCAGCTCAGATCAGCACCGCTTCCTACCAGGGTCAGCAGAAACTGCTCCAGATTGACTCCAGCAGCAGAAGACCACCAGGGGTTCCTCCTGGCTGCTAAGAACAGGAAATTGACTACAATTCCCCCAGGATCAGCAGAACCGGACCAGAAAAGACTAGAAAAACCGTTCCTGGTCCAATGGGCCTGGATTTCAGCTGTTGGGTCCGAATTTGTTGTCACCAACATGAAAACATGGATCCATTATGTTGGGCTGCAGAAGCACCACCCTCCATCCAACTGTAAGATGTGTGTGTGTGTGTGTGTGAGGATTTTTATCATTTGTGAAGCTGCTGTGGAAAAATCCAGCCAATCAGGTTGATCTTCTGGGACTGACATGACCACACCTACTTTAGAAAATGGCGTTACAACAAAAAACCACAAACGTTTCTGTGCTGGTCAGCTTGTCTTCAGACGTTTTAATAACTTTGAAGGTTTTTCTCATCTTCAGGCAGCATTTGACTTGCAGCCTTTGCTTTAGTTTGGGTTTTTAGCCATACCAGCCCACCCCACGCTTCCTTATGGGAAGTTCTCTGAGTAGAATTAAACCGAGGACGAGTCTGGGAGGCCAGGCTAGGTTTTTAGCATCGACATATAAATATTGGACAATGGGTTTCCATAGACTCCAATAACACTTTTTTGGCCACCACCGCCATTTTGACCGTGTCACAGGTTCTGTCAAGCCCAGACAATTCCACAAAAGGGAAGAGAGGTGTGGCTGTAAAGCTGGGATCAACTGACGACACCTGGTCGAACTAGCTACAAACTAACCTGAAGCTAACCCAAAGCTAACGCGGAGGTGGGAGCTAAGCTAATGGAGGTAGCAACCTAGCTACAACCGGAGTTAACTGTGCACAACCTCTGAGTCAGAGATACGCCGGGCTGACCGCTGGGTAAAACCGGGTGGAACGACAGACAGAGATGCACCGAGCTGCGGGGAGGGGAGAACGGGTGGAAAACATCGGTCTCCGAGAGCTCCACAAGCCGATAGTGGGAACCCAGCTCCACCAACATGTTATATTTCAACCCATTTTCTAAAGTGCAGCATTATGTTAAATGCACTGGGTTTACCCTATTACATTTAAATTTCATGGTTAAACAGTACATGTTAAAATCTAAGCTCAGCTCGGCAGTGACCTAAAATACATAAATATAATTTTACTTACCGAAAAAAATGAAGTGGAGACTCCTTGGGCGCTCTATTAGTGCAATTAATGCCACAGCAAGTCATTTTGTCCAACAATTGCACAAATAATATCCAAACAAGAATACACAAACACAGAGACTCAAAATCCCGGAACAGTTTCCAGGCCAGACCGAGGCTCTACTGAGGCCTTTCCACGGAGCTAGCTCTGTGGTCACGTGGGTCTGATGCTCATTAATTATACAGAGTTTTAGACTTTTAATACACTTAAACAGAAGAGTGAGAAAAAAATTCACCCCCCCTCAGAGTTGTCATGAGTGTAAACTAGATTATTTAAACC